ATAGTTTTGAATAGTCCTCCTGTGGAGGGACATGCCCGACTTAAAACTAGGAGCGCGTTTCTTTATTTTCGGCGATGATGGGCATTATAGGAGGGGGGAGGCGGCTGGGGGGGGGTGTAATGTAACGCCTCCCCTCCCGCCGTGTGCCCGATGCGCACGGTGGCAGTGCCCGGAGCGCACTTGGGGGGGGAGGGGCGTTACGTTATAGGGGGGGAGGGGGGGGCCGGGGGCTGTGATGCCCATTATGCCCCAAGCAAGAAAGAAGCACGCTCTAGGCGGAGGAGGAGGAGGAGGAGGCGGAGGAGGAGGAGGAGGAGGCGGACCGAGAGTGTGCACCGCCCCCCCGAGCAGCGGCGCTGGGTGGCCTGGGCCACCGTCACGGTGCCGATGACCGTCCTCTGGCGGAGCCCGAGGCTGGACAGGTATGCCATCAGGAGCGGGGTGTCGCCGATGCCGATGGTTCATTGCACCAGCCTTGCAGACGTGCTGCAGCAGATTCCTGCGTGGATTTCTGCGTGGATTTTTGCCCGAAGCGGCGAGCGAAAAACGAAGTGAAGTTCGCGTGGATCGTTTTAGGTCCTCATTCCCGACCTAGAAAAACCCGCACGAAATCCACCTCGATATCCGGAACGAAATTCTCCAGGACACCCCCGGGCCCATCCTATCGTATTCCGAACGAAATCCGCTCTGCGAGGTTGGCGCCATGAGATGGTGCTGGTGACCACGCCGACAGCGCCGCCAACGGCGCAGTGCAGGAGGATCGCCTGCGACTCCGCCAGGCCGTGCCCGCCGGGGCGCGTCTTCCCCCGAGAGGCTCCGCTCCCCTCCGCGCCGCGGTCTCTAGGATCGCCGCCGCTCGAAGCGCACGGTGCAGGGGGTCGCTCCGCAGGACAGCCTCCTAGGAGGCGTGGGAACAGTGCCTCAAGATGCACCCTCGGAGGTCCGCACGGGGCTCTTGGCTCACGGGTCGGCGTTGGTCCCTCACCAGCCACATCCCCTCCCCCGAAGACGGACCATGCCGAGGGGGGCGCCGCCAGGAGTGGCGGGGAAGGGGGCCACCGCCGACCCGGGAAGCCCGCGCGGACCTCCGAGTGCGTTTGGTACTGTCATCTGCTGTCCCCCCAAATCCGCTGGGAAACTTCTTCCCCTGGAAAGTTGCGCTCTCCTCGTCGCCGCGGCCCTCGGGGTCGCCATCGCCGATTGCAGCACGCGGTGCAGAGGGCTGGGTGCGCGACGTGTACAGCTGGCTCAGCGCCAGCGGACATAGCACCAGGCACATCATGCCTGACGGCCCTCCTCCTCCTCCTCCTCATCCTCCTCCTCCTCATCCTCATCCTCATCCTCATCCTCTTCCTCCTCCTCCTGCTATCCTCCTCCTCCTCCTCCTCCTCCTCCTCCTCTTCCTCCTCCTCCTCCTCCTTCCCCTCCTCCTCCATTCCTTCTCCTTATGGAGAACTCCTCCCTGTCGCACCCCGAGGCCAGTTCTTTGGACGGGCCGCGCGTGTCGCCTGAGACTTCCTCGCCACTTATGCCTCTGAAGCTTACAAAGTGACAACAGCTTCACAGATGGAAAGCGGGTCGTATTCAAAATGTGGCTCTCGCCTTAGCGCCACGCACACTCGTATTTGAAACTTGCAAGAGATTCACGGATTAAGGACGGTTCGATTTCAAAATGTGGCTCTCGCCTTAGCCTGCCGCGCACATTCGTTTAAACAGTTGCAAGACTTTCACGGATTGAGGACGGCTCGTTTTCAAAATGTGGCTCTCGCCTTAGCCCGCCGCGCACATTCGTTTAAACATTTGCAAATGTTTCACGGATTGAGGGCGGGTGGTTTTCAACATGTGGCTCTCGCGTTAGCGCCGCGCACATTCGTTTCTAAACAATTGCAAGAGGTTCACGGATTGAAGGCGCTTCGTTTTCAAAATGTGGCTCTCGCGTTAGCGCCGCGCACATTCGTTTTAAACATTGTAAGCGTTTCACGGGTTGAGGGCGGGTGGTTTTCAAAATTTGGCTCTCGCGATAGCGCCGCGTTCATTCGTGTTCCCAATGTGCAAGAGCTTCACGGATTGAGGGCGGGTGGTTTTCGAAATGTGGCTCTCGCCGTAGCGCCGCGCACACTCGTTTTCCCAAATTGCAAAAGCTTCACGGATTGAGGGCGGTTCCTTTTCAACATGTGGTTCTCGTCTTAGCGCCACGCACATTGGTTTTAACCTTTTGCATGGATTTCAAGGATTCCGGTGGTCAGCGCACCAAAAACAAGGTGTTGGAAGGATTCAGGAACATGCGGGTGCAATAGTTATGTTGGTTCGCGGTGTTGAAATCGAAAAAGGGCGTCATGGCACGATTCAGGATCGCCAAAACGCAGCAGTCAGGTTGATAGGTGGCGTTGAAATCCAGAGAAAACTGTTTCGGCATGCTTCAGGATCTTCAAACGGTTCTTCCACCGAGGCAGTTCCCTCAATGGAAATGAAGCGTTGTAGGGGCCTGTGAAGAGGGCGCTTGGAGGGAGGGTTAATTCCAACATCGTTGATGACTCTTCGGTTTACACTGGTCCTTCTCCTCCTCCACCTCCACCTCCACCTCATCCTCCTCCTCCTCTTCGTCCTCCTCCTCCGCCTCCTCCTCCTCTCCACCTTCTCCTTATCGTCTCTCCCCTGATCATGCCGAGAACTGCCGCAACACCTCTCGCGTATTGATCTCACGTACACAAGACTTCAACATTTCCCTCACCAGTTCGCCTTCTGGGGACCTATGATGACTACATCGTCTATGTCTGTCTGGATGTCTCGTTGTAATATACAAACATACATACATACGTACACACGTACAAACATAATTACATACATGCATGCATGACTCCATGCATACAACATTGCATACATGCCTATAGTCATGCAGACATACATACGCACATACATACACAACTAGATACAATCATGCACGCAGACATTCATACACGCATGCAAACTTGTCGACATGAATACAAACATACGTATTTACATGCATACATACATACATACATGCATGCGTACATACATACATACATACATACATGCATGCATGCATGCATGCATGCATGCATGCATGCATGCATACATACATACATACATACATACATACATGCATGCATGCATGCATGCATGCATACATACATACACACCGATGTGCCTACATACGCACATGCATACATGCATGCGTACATACATACATGCATACAGCCACACATACGTTCATACATACACGCATGAACACACACATGCGCACATACATACAATCAGACATACATGTTTACAAACATACACACATACAGCATACACACAACCATCCATGCACACATACACACAGACATACGTTCGTACCTACCTACATACATACATACATACGAGAGAGAGAGAGAGAGAGAGAGAGCGCGCTTCACGGGCGCTCGCCTTGGGAACATTCGGCGGCGCGTTTCGAAACGGGGGGTGGGCCCCCCCCACACAACACTCGGCGCCGTCGATCAAAACCAGGGGGACTCCCCTCCCAAACCCCCCCCCTTCCGAACCCCCCCCCCTCCCCAGGGCGGGAGGGGGTGGTTCAAAACCACCTCCCCCCTTCGGCGCCGGCGCCTGGGACGCAGCGACGATGACCAGGAGCAGCCCAGGGGGGGGGAGGGGGGGATTCAAACCCCCACTCCCCACCCCCCCCATGGCGCCGGCGCTGGCGCTGGCGGCGGCCAGCAGCGCTGGCGCAGGCGCCCGCGACGGCGGGAACGCAGCGACGATTACCGCCACTACCACCACCACCACTACCACCAGCACCACTGCCTCAACCCACCACCAACACCATCAACGCACCACACAACCACCACCACCACCACAGCCACCACCACCACCACAACCACCACCACCACAACTCACCATCACCACAACCACCACAAAAACCCACAACCACTACCACCACCACAACAATCTACCACACCACCACCACCACCGCCGCCACAACCACCACCACTACCAGCAGCACAACCCACCACCACCACAAACCACCACACCACTACCACCACCACCACCACCGCCACCACCAGCACCACCAGCACCACCTCCACGAGCCACCGCCACCACCGCAACCCACCACCACAACCAGCACAAACCACCACCACACCACCACCAAACCACCAGCACCACCACCACCACAACCCAACACCACCACCACCACCACCACCATCAAAAACCACCACCAAACCACGACCTCAACCACCACCACCCACCACCACCACCCACCACCACAACAAACCACCACACCACCACCACCACCACAACCACCACCACAACCCACCACCACCACCACAACCCACCACCACCACCACAACCGTCGTCCTCGTCGATGTTCCCCGCCGCCGCCGCCCGCCGCCGCAGGCGCCGGCGCCGGCCCAGAAAGCCATCGTCGTCCCCGCCGCCACCGCCGGCCGCCGCCGACGCAGGCGCCAGCCAGAGGAGAGGGAGAGAGGAGAAGTGGAAGGGCGAGGAGGGGGTGGTCGGGTTCCACCCCTCCCCCTCCAAGCGACCACAGAACGCGCTCTGTTATGCATACATACTTACATACATACATACATACATGCATACATACATACAGACATACATACATACATGCATACATACATGCATACATACACATACATGCATACATGCATACATGCATACATGCATACATGCATACATGCATACATGCATACATGCATACATGCATCCATGCATGCATGCATAAATACATACGCACATGCATGCATGCATGCATGCATGCATGCATGCATACATACATACATACATACATACATGCATGCATACCTACCTACCTACCTACCTACCTACCTACCTACCTACCTACCTACATACATACATACATACATGCATACACACATACATACATACATACATACATACATACATACATACATGCATGCATGCATGCATGCATTCATGCATGCATGCATGCATGCATACATACATATATACATACATACATACATACATACATACATACATACATACACACATACACATACATACATACATACATACATACATACATATATACATACATACATACATACATACATACATACATACATACATACATACATACATACATACATACATACATGCATGCATGCATGCATACATACATACATGAATACATACATAAATACATACATACATGCATACATGCATGCATGCGTGCATGCATGCATGCATACGTACATACATACATACATGCATGCATGCATGCATGCATACATGCATACATACTTACACACATACACGCAAACATACATACATGCATACATACATACATGCATGCATACATACATACACAGTAGAACATAGCGCGCGCTTCGCGCACGTTTAGGCTCTAGCGCAACACAGGGCCTCCAGAACCCCTCTCGGCAAGCCTACGGGGAGCCTCTTGGGGTCGTCTGGAGGATACCTCGCGTTCCTCTGGGGGGATCTTAGCCCGCCTGACGCTTTCGGAAGCCGTCTGGGGGGGACTCTGGGAGGTTTCCCGGGTCGTATTCGGAGACTCTGGAGCGCTCTTGGGGCCGTATTGTGGCCCTGTGGGTCTGATCTTGCGGCGCGCGTGGACGTATACAACCATCCAGAAGTCTCCAACAGCCATCGGAAGCGAAGAAGCGACATCTCTAAAAAAACAGATGATTTGCTTCGGTGCTTCATAAATGCTGGTCTCTTGGGGCCCTCTCAGAAGCATCTTGGAACCAACGGATAATCAACAGAGTTTGCCTCTAGAGGCGCTTTCGCGGGCACTGTTGGACGCGCTCGCGCGTTCCTTGTGGTCTCTCCTGGCCAGCTTGTGGCCATCTTGGAGGCCTATCGTCGCCCACTGGGGCCGTCCTGGAGGCCTCTGGGGGCCGTCCTGGAAGCCCCTGAGAACCTGGAAAATCCTCCAGAGCCCTGAACAGGACCCGCGGGCCCCAGGGACCAGACTCTGGTGCGGGGGGCATGGAGGAATTTTGAAAACGTGGAGGCCACAAAGCCTGGGAACCCAGCCGGTGGCTATGTTATATGATCCTCTGGATGTCCTCTGGGTTATGAGACACATCAAAGTCTCATTACCCGAATTGCCATGCCCTTTCCGGTTCGGAGAAAATCCGAGGAAGGAATGAATATCAGGGTAGTCCAGCTTCCTGGAGGCGAGGGCTAATGTGGCAACGTTGCGACGACGACGACGAAGACAAGGGAAAGGGGGAGGACGAGCACGGCGAGCAGGCGAGGATATCCGCCTCCCTCTCCCTCATCACCATCGTTACCAGCATTGCCAGCAGCAGCATCGTCATCATCATCATCATCATCATCATCATCATCATCATCATCATCATCATCATGATCACCATCATCATCATCATCATCATCATCATCATCATCATCATCATCATCATCATCATTGTCATCATCATCAGCATCATCAACATCATCATGATCATTGTCATCGACGTCGTCGGCGTCATCATCATCATAATAATCAGCATCGTCGTCATCATTATCATCAGCATCATCATCAGCATCAGCATCACCATCATTATTATCATCACTATTGTCGTCATCACCATCATCATTACCATCACCTTCACCACAACCATCATCATCATCATCATCAGCATCATCATCATCGCCGCAATCATCATCATCACCACCACCACCATCATCATTATCATCATCATCATCATCATCATCATCATCATCATCATCATCATCATCATCATCATCATCATCATCTCCATCAACAACAACAACAACATCATCATCATCGTCATCGTCAGCATCACCATTGCCGTCATCTTCCTCCTCCATCTCCCTCCCACCTCCTTCTTTAATCGATTTCCATGTCCCCGTCCCTCTTCCGCCCCCAACCTCGTCTCCTCATCCTCCTCTCCATACTTCCTCCCTCTCCCTCTCCTTTTGCCCCTCCCATGTGTGTCTCTGCCTCCTTTTGCACTTTCCTTTTACCCGTTTCCCCCTGCCCCTCCTTATGCCTCTGCCCTGGGAATCAAGGTTCGAATTAGGAGTGAGGGGGGCTATGGAATTAGGGTTCAGATATTATTGCTCGCTGGGGTCAGGTTGAAGCGGAGGAATTAGGGCGAGATTGTTAGGGCGAGTGTCTTGCAGTTGGGGTGTCAAGAATGGAATGTAACGGTGCGGGTGGTTAGGGCGAGGCTTGAGGGTTGAAGTGTTAGGGTGCAGTAATGCACCAGATATACTGGAAACCGAAGAACCAATAATCGGATTTTGAGACCAGACACACACCAAAAACCAATAAAACCGATAAGCCGACCCTGAACAGAAGATCGCCACAGGACGACATAAACACAACCGATAAACCAAAAGACCGGTAAACCGATAAACGCTTCATGAACTGAGAAACCGACGCGAGGGCGTGGGAACGGGTTCAGTGGTTTACCAACTCACAGGACGATCGACCGATAAACCAATACAACAACTCTGTTATATCGGTCGACCAACCGATGTGCCGATCAACCGAAGTAGTTTCAACATTCTGGGGCCGTCGGGGGGGCCTCGCGGGCGCACGCCTGAAGGGCCTCCTTGCGAGGTCTCTCGGAGCCTGTTTCGGCCCACAGCGGGGGCCTCTCAGGGGCCGCTTGGAGTGGCGAGCCCGTCTGGGTCTGCCTGAGGATCTCGTCGGCTGTCTTGCACCTTCTGAGGGCACCCGGGGGGCGCGTCGGGGCCCTCTCGTCTCGTCTCCGGCCCCCTCTCAAGCCATCTAGGGTCGTTCTCGGAGCGCTCCTGAGGCGTTGCTCAGGCGGCACTAGGGGCCTCCTAAGCTCTCCTTGGCACTGCGGCTACAGAGAAGGCGCGTGTGCTAAAGGTATACGAAGAAAAATGCAGAATCCATGTGTGCTACCTGGTTCCCGAAGCTCGGCCGCGGCACTGCTGAAGACCCGAAAAAAGATATGGGAAAAGACAGACAGCGCATCGCTGCCTGGCCGCGAGAGTTCTCACCGCAGCGCTGACACTTCTCCTGCGCCTGAAAAGATAATGCATCGTTGCCCGTCCGCAGGCATTCTCACCGCAGCGCTGGCACTTCCTGCGCCTGCCGAAGAGGCCATCGGTCAACGGCATGCCTAAAAGCAACTTTTACATGGGATGCGCGTGCTGGCACGCCAGCGGGCGGAGCACGTGCGGTCAGGGAGGGCGCGTGTAAACTCTTTAAAGGAATAGCCACCTATACACGGAAACATGTATATACATACGCATACCTACATACAGACATATGTATACACACACGCATGTGTGTGTTTCAAAACATCGAAAGACTTCCGACCAGATCTACAGATGTATAAACATGTGGGGCCGTCGTGGGGCGAGCTTTGGGGCATCTGGGGCTGTTGTGGGAGAGGCTTTTGAACGATCCAAAACCTTTTTGGGTAATCCTGCAGGTCTCTTGGGGCGTCTTTGGTGTCCCTTGGGCAGTGTGGGCGCCCTCTTTGGCAGTGTCATGATGTGAGGTTTGGCGCCTCCAGGGCTGTTTTGCAGCGTCGGCGAGGCGAAACAGGGGAAAAACAGAAAAGAACGTCGAACATCCATGAAACACACACACACACAAGTTGTGCCTCTTAGGGCACTATTGGTGAGCGCGTAGGAACCGTCCCGAAGCGTTATGGGACGTGGGAGCCAGCATGAGCGCCTGGGAATGACTTTCCAGCTCTTCAGGGCTTTATTCGGCTGTCCTGAAAGTCTTTTGGGCCGCCTTTGGTGCGTCGTGGGCAGTCCTGGCGCCCTTTTCGGGGCCTCTTGTTCGGTCTTGGGGTGGGTTTTGTGTTTCTGGGGCTGTCTGGGAGCGTCGGCAAGGGGGAGGCACTGGAAAACGATCAGAAACCTACGGAAAATCAACAACTGTTGGCTTTTGGAGTCGCCTTGAGGGCGCCTTGAAACTATCTTGGAGCGTTTTGGGGGCGTTGTGGGCTGTCTTGAAGCTTTCGCGGAGCGCGATGGGGTCTAAGGATGATTTTGCCTTTGGGGGATCTCCTCCTCCTCCTCCTCCTCCTCCTCCTCCTCCTCCTCCTCCTCCTCCTCCTCCTCCTCCTCTTGAAATCCTTCGAGGCACTGGAATGGGCAACTCCCCCCTCCGCGCCCGCGCTCAGCAGCCGCAGGGTCGCGTCGGAGAGCTCCCGCGCCAGCTGGGCGCCGAGGGCCGCGCCGGGCAGCCCACAGATGCCCAAGCAGGCGGCGACCGTGAGGTCGCAGTACCTGGGGCCAATCCCAGACCCCCAACGTTTCGAGTCGCCTCCCCGTCGGAGTGTCCATAGGCAAGAGTGACCTTTGGGGCGCGGCGTTGGGGGGGCCGTGGGGGAGGGCCAAGCCCAAGCGAGCAAGCCGTTGCTGTCGCATCGCGTTCGGGGATCTGGGAACCCCAGTGGACCCGCTCCGAAGGTCGCTATGGCGAGGGGTCACTCTTTTGCATGGCCAGTTCGAGAATCCATGACCCCCCCCCAACAATGCTTGCACTAAGGGCTTCTGACTTCTCGTCTGAGGGACTGGGCCTGGCTGTCGATCCCGCCAGATTTAAGTCGGGCCTGTCCCCCTACAGGGGGATTTTCGACGAAAAATTAAAAAATACCCCCAAAATAATCCAACAATAATCCCAAAATAGCCTGGGGACTATTCTTTTGGTATTTTTTGACCATTTTGAGTTTTTGTTGTTGAATATGTCGTATTTTTCGTCGAAGCTCCCCCTGCAGGGGGACACGCCCGACAGAAGACTGGGCCCGGCTGCCGGTGCCGCCAGAGTGTGGCCGCCCGTCGCCGCCGTCCCCGGCCACGACTCTGCTTGTGCGAGGCTCGCAGGCCGCCTTGCTTTTTGCATCGCTTTTTCCAGTTTGCCTCGCGTTGCGCTGCGCTGCTTTTTGCAGTGCTTTGCACCGGATAGATTGCCTTCGCTTCGCTTCGCAGTTTTTTGCATCGCTTCGCAGTTTGCCTTGCGTTGCGCAGCGCTGCTTTGTGCAGTGCTTTGCACCGCATAGGTTGCACCACGTGGCATGCCCCAGCCGGGTGGCACCACATCGACCGCAACAGCCAGATTGCACCGCACATTCACCACCGCACCCTGGAGGCACGAGCTGGAGTGCTCTTAGGGTCCTTGTCCGATCACGTGGAGCCTCAGTCATCAATCCTGAAGATTCTTCAAGGGTCCCGGAGCCTGTATTGCCAAATCTTCCGGGGCTTGCGGTGTGGCCTCTGGGCCGCGGGGCATCTTGTCGCGTCACTGTGTCGGTCCCAAAAAAAGCCCCAAGAGGGGTTAAAGGGGCCCCAAGAGGCCCCCAAGACGGTCTAAGAAAGCCCCCAATCGCCGAACAATCGGTCTAAGACGCCAAGATGGCCTCCAGTCAGCGGAAGGGCGCTCAAGACTTCCCAGAAGACCTCCAAGAGCCTTCCCAAGAGGGCCTCAGGAAGCAAAAATGATTGATTTCTCTAGGGAGTTTCAACGTAATTGGGGATCTCGCCTTTTGAGCTTCCCGACGCTCCAAGACAGCCCAAGAGGCCCCCAAGATCGCCCCAAGGCAACCCAAGAGGCCTCCACGAGGGCCCCAAAACGGCCGAACAGGGGGCCTAGACGCCTACGGGAGGCCCCAGGAGGCACCCCAGAGGCCCCCAGATGCCCCAAAGAGGCCCCCAAGAAGCCCGAAACTACCCCCGAGAGGCCCCCGAGAGCGCTCCGAAGAGACCCCTTAAGAAGCATCCCTGAGGACTCTGACCCATGACCCAGGCGGAGCGGGGGGATGGGCCGTAGCCCATTCGACCCGCTTGGCATGGGGACGGAACGCGCTCGTACTCCGTGAGGGCGCGAGATCGCTTGCTCAGTGTCTTGGAGCCCTCTTGGTATTAAAGACGTTGGTTGCCATTCCATAGAACTAGCAACAAACCTTACGAGCATCCAGGAATATGGCCTCTCTGGGCCTTCTTGGGGTGTCCTTTTGAGCCTCCTTTGGGCTGTTCTGGGGCCACCTTGGGTCGCCACGGGGCCCTCTTGGGCCGTCTTTGAGATCTTGGGCCGTCTTGGGGGCCTCGGGGCCCTTGCGGGGCCCTCTGGGGAACCTCCTGCGGCCTTCTTGGGGCTCTCTTGTGGACCTATGTGGCCTTCTTGGCCGTCTTGGACGCTGCGAAGACCAAAGAAGCAGATACGTATGCTAAAAACGCACGTCTTCCGAAAGGGAATGGGGCGATGCGTGCGTATTGGGCGTTCTTTGGGAGGCCTCGTGGAGCGTCTTGCGGGCCTCTTTGGCCGTATTGAAGCCATTTGGGGCCATCTTTAAGGGCCCTTGGGTCCTCTCATCCATCTTGAGCGCTATCGGGCCGTCTCAGGGCCCTCTTGGGCCTCCCTGGAGCCGCCGTGGAGGTAGCGTTGGCGCTCTGGGGGCTCTTTTGGGCCATCCGAAGGCCCTCTGAGGCGCTCTTGGCGCTGACTTGGGCCGTCGAGGGCCGAACATGGCCGCAAATTGAGCTAGGGCCGCCCATTGCCAAACATGGCCGAAAATTAAGCGATTAGATCTGGGCTGGCGAGGCCAACCCCCTCACACTCCCCCTTGTTATTGTTCCCGGCTGACGGATCGGGACGCCACGCGCGTTTCTGTCATCCACCGCTCCCTGTACTCTCGCCACAGGGGTGCACGGCGAGCCAGATTTCTGGGAAATTCTTATCCCCGCTCGCTGCGCAGAAGAGCAGTCGTCTCGGGGCGGACGCGCGGCGCGCGCGCGGCGGGCCGTAGGGAGAGACGGGCCGCCGCGATCGCACCGTGCGGCGCACTCAGGTGGCCGTGTCCAACACGGGCCCCTGGACGACCATCAGGAGGTCGTAGCAGCGCCGCAGGCCAGCCTTTGAAGAAGGAGGGAGGTAGAGGGTGGGGGCCGAGAAGCTGCAGACGACTGCGTAGCGGGCGCGAATGGGGATAGAGAGGTGCATCCCCGCTCGCTGCGCAGAAGAGCAGTCGTCTCGGGGCGGACGCGCGGCGCGCGCGCGGCGGGCCGTAGGGAGAGACGGGCCGCCGCGATCGCACCGTGCGGCGCACTCAGGTGGCCGTGTCCAACACGGGCCCCTGGACGACCATCAGGAGGTCGTAGCAGCCATACCCATGCTCAAAGCCCTTGCGAAGTGACAAGAGTTCGGCGGGCGGCTGCGAGCTGAATGGGCCACCCGGCAAGGCCAGCATTCAGGAAGGACGCGACAAGGTAGTCGCTAACAGACGCAAAGTACTCGACCAGAGACCGAGAGGCCTCAGGGAGGGCGGCAAGGACAGTAGAAGCGGCAGCGTCTTGCAGATATCCCTCGGCGGTGGACGCCTGGCGCCAGCGGCCCCGCCAGAAGACGCGTGGCAAATGCTCCGTAGCGGCATTGAAGTCTGTGGCGCCTGTGCCTTGAAGGCCAACGGGTGTGATGTCGAACCCCGCAGGCATCTTGGCGAGCGGCACGCCCAAGCCGACAAGTAGATGGTTCCACCGAGTACGGAAGCCGCTCTGACCAGAGGTCGTGGTCATGAGCGGATCGGTGGGGCCCACATGCCGAAACACAATATCCATAATTTTGACGGTCGCTCGATCCGAACAACGAGCGTATTGAATCGGATAAGACCGACAACTCTCAGGAACTGCAATCGACAAGAAGGCGTCGCCTTCCGGCTCAAGGCGGTCGCATGGCAGCGACAAGTCACAACGCTTCGCGTGGAGAATCTCGCCTGGACGCAGGGACATCGTGAAGCCAGCCAGCACCAGGGCAGCCATCTCGGGCCACTCCCACAGCAGGCACAAGCTAACCATCGCGCGAAGGAGCGCTCGGGGAAGCGGCGGGCGGAGCCCGGGGAAGCTGCGGGCATGCCCGAAGAAGCGCGCTGGAGGCTCGGAATGCTTCCACAATTTAGCAACATCCCAGGCCTCAGTCAGCAAACCCCTACAGTGAGGGTGATTGGCCTGCACGCCCAGCACGGCGTGAACAAGGATGTACTGCGGGAGCCCCGCGTCGTGGAGCCAAACTCCGAACGTGGCCAAGAATCTGCCTGCTAAGATCCCGCTGCGGTAGAGCGTGTCAGGGACAATGCCCGTGTGCTCACCTAGCCACAGCTCGAATGCATCGAGCGAGCGTGTACGCCTGCTCTCATCAGCGGGGGTGAAACGAGAGCCCTGGGCGAACGAGATTCGCGCGAGAGGAGGCGCGGGGCTAAGGCCGCGACCGGAGTCAGCGGCAGCGGTCGAGCCAGAAGGCGTCGGCGCGGCTGGGGACAGCTCGGCCCCTGGGCCGTCTAGCGCCATAAGCCGCGGGCGCTGCCGCTCGCCCTGATGTGCGGCGTCAGCCGAAGACAGGACGGCGCCTGACCGCGGAGCGCTCGGAGGCGCAGCGCCTGCTGCACGGCGGCGGCGGCGCGCGGGGTGGGGGACTCGCCGATGCCAGGTAATGGCGGCACGGCCACCGCCCTGCGGCGCCGTGTCAGCCTCGCTGTGCGGGACCGTACCTATCCTCGCCTCAGCCTCGGCGGCGCTGTCCACCTCCGCGGGGGCAGCCGGCACTGCCGCAGGCGCAAAAAGGTCCGCCGCCGCCGCGGGGGGCCCGGCGGACGCGGCCTCTCTGACGCAATTGGCAAGACGTGAGCGGGCGCTGCACAATGCAGCCTTACGGCGCTCGAGCTCGGCGAGGAGCGTCAGGATACGCTCTGCCAGCTCTCCCGCGCTCTCCCCAGTCTCCGCACCTCTCTCCAGCTCGACCTCGGTCAGAGCGGCATCGACAGCGTCGACCGCGGTTCGGAGCCGCGCCAAAGCACGCCGTTCGGCACGCGCGCGCCTGACCGCGGCCGCTGGGACAGCGACCTGGCTGGTGCGCATCGCAGCCGAGGTGGCCCACGCCCCGACTTGGGGCGGACCTTGGGCCGCGCGCGCAGAGGGCTCCAAGGACTCGGAAAAGTGTGGCGCAGCCGCCAGCGCCTCAGAGACCATGTCATGGGCAGCTTCCCTGGAGTCGGGGGAATCCGCGTTGCCAACGAGCGGGCCTCCCACCATAGGCGCGGCGCTAAGCGCGGCCGCGAGTTCCAGAGACCTCGGAGCGGCCCTGGCACGAGGGGCGGCCGGCGGCGCGGCGTATGAGGCGGCGGCGGGCGGCGAGGCATCATGCACGCGCGCACGGGCGCTCGACTGCGAACGATGCACGGAAGCAGGCGTGGGCACATCGTCGGCGCGCGGTGCTGGTGGCGCACCTGCGGCGCGAGCCG